CGGGCCGCCATAAGAAAGGTGATGGCCTTTCGTAATGTGGAATTCGACACGGCCAGAGGAATTGTAGCGAGATCCCTATGAGATAGGGAAATGGATAGGGTAGGAGGGTTAGATGAAAGTGAAGGAATAGGGAGTAAGGAGTATCCAGCGCTGAGGCAAAGGGAGAGGAGAGAAGTGTGGGAGGAAAAAGAGGTTCCAACAGAGAAAGAATTGGAAGGAGTAAGAAGAGGAAGGGAAGAGAATGATAGGAACAGGGGGATTAGCAGGGGAAGGAAGAAATTTAGTCAAGTAGTATGTGGCGGACCGCCGCCGAAAATTCTCGACGCGCGCGAACGCTCGCTATGCGGCACGAGCGTAAAAGAACATTCGCGAACGCTCGCTATACGGCGCGAGCGTGGAAAAACATTCGCCAGCCCATGCGCTGGAACATTCGCGAAGAGGCGCGTGCGGCGAGGCGCGCGCGAGAACGTTCGCGAGCCAGAACGTTCGCGAAAAACAATCGACTATATAAATCGGCCGGTTCGCGATCAATCAATCAGTCGATGTCCAGCTCGCACTCCGAAAGCTTCGAAGTTCAACAACGCGCGTTTACATATCTCTTGTACAAAGTCTAATTTTATAGTGTATTAGTTTATAGTTCCTAGTTCTTAGGTGGGGGGAGTCGCTGACTGAGCGGACCTTTAGAGTTACTAAGGCCCGCGTCCGGGATTGCGGAGTGCAGTCTGGGTCGGACGATAGAGACGAACGGTTGGTTTTGAATCGTCCTGTAGTTGCTCCGCCTCAGCGTACGGTTGTTCAGTCTAAGTCTAATTTAAGAAAATGTTGTAAAAAGCGTGGTAATAAATTTTTCATTACTGTTCGTTTTCCGTATGAGTACGCCTCTATACGTGAAGATATTGCTTCATATTTTCAAGACTGTTTGCAAGTCTGTGTTGGAAGGGAGAAAGATAGTAGTTCGAATTCCGTAAGTTTCCATTATCATATTTATGTAAACTTTTGCGATTTGTTATGTTTTCATGATGTATTGCGTTTATGTCAAGTTTATTTTGTGGATTGTGTGGCTAATGATGTTCAAAGATGTCGGTCTTCGAAGAGTGTGTTGAAGTATATAAGTAAGGAGGATGATTGTTTGTATTATTTTGGTTTGAGGGTGTCTGATTTTTCTTTTTATTATCAGTATGTGCATTGGGCTCGTAATACTGTAGAATTTAAACATTCTGATCCTTTTGTTGCTATGCATTGGCAGAAGTATAGGTATTTGGAGAATTTTCATAGGGAGTATCGTATGTCTTTTAAGAAGTCTTTTCGTGGTTTTAAGGTTTGTGAATATATAAATTCTGGTTGGGCAATGAAATATGCTCAGTGGTGGAATGTTGCTGTGGGACCGTGGTTTCATAAGCGTAAGGCGTTGTATTTACATGGTCCGTCGAATGTTGGGAAATCTAGTTTGGTTGAACGTTTGATTGGTCGTGAAAATTTGCATTTTGTTTTTTATCCGGGTGTTGGGAAGTTTGATTTTCAGGGTTTGAGTGAATATCATAGAGTAATTGTTTTTGAGGAATTTGATATTAGATTTCATGTTGAGAGTATGTTGAAGAGATTGCTTGAGGAAAAGCGGTATGCTTTCCCTGTTAAGTGTAAGGAGGATAAAGTAATGTGTTTTCGAGGACCGATAATTTTTGTTGCAAATGAGGAGAGAGTTGTTGATGACGCATTGAGAAATCGTTTATGTTTCGTTAATGCTGATCATCCGTTTTGGCAGTATGTGGAATGCGTGGTTCCGAAAACGGAGGTTGATGGGTCGGGCGATAACGAAGAAGCGACCGTTGAGACGGTTGTCTTATCGTCCGATGAAGAGGAGGATGGTTGTGTCACGACGGCGGAATGCGGTCCGTCAGGTCCGCAGGTATCGGAGGAAGGTCCGCCGTGTAAACGCCCTAGGCTATCGCCCGAACCCAAACGCAGATGGGTTCATCACAGACAGATTTAGTGACACTGGATATTAGAAATGATAGTGAAATACCAAAATTTATGTTAAATTTCCGCGACATTGAGGACTCAATCCGGCAATTTAACGGATAGGATGGATATCCGGTAGAAAGTTGGATCCGAGATTTTGAGGATAATGCCGAGTTGCTGGGTTGGTCAGAGTTGCAAAAATTATTGTTTGCGAAAAGATGCTTAACGGGGCTGGCAAAATTATTTATCCAGGGCGAGCGAGCCATTACGACATGGACGAAATTCAAATCCCTATTGTTGGAAGAGTTCTCTTCGAGGATAAATAGCGCATAACTACATCAAATGTTGCGTAGCCGGAAGATGCGACGGGACGAATCGGTCCACGAATATTTTCTAGTGATGAAGGAAATCGCTGCGAGAGGCTACATCGAGGCCGAAGCATTAATACAGTATATCGTCGACGGAATTCCCGACGATCCCATTAGAAAAGCCCAACTTTACGAGGCAACAAATTTAAGAAACAGAATTAAGAGGAGAAACTGAGAGGTGGGGAATGAAATAGAGAGAAAGGGTAAAGTAGCAATTGCATGAATCCCGGCTCATATTGGGATTGAGGGCAATGAAAGAGCGGATAGAGTGGCGAAAGAGGCAACGATGGGCGACGCGGATTTTTGGGTGAAATATACTTTGAAGGACTATAGGAGGAAAATGAGAGATAGAGGGTGGGTTAGATCTACGGAGAAGCATCTCAGACAGGGGGAGTATAAAGGGAGAAAATACTATGAGGCCAAGTGGAACAACGTGGAGAAGGAGTTCCCATGATTTAAAAATATAGGGCAATTAGGAAGGGACACAATTTGTAGTCTGAACAGAATTAGGGCAAATCGCTATAACCTAAGATGATCGCTTTTTAGGAAATACATAGTGGAAGACCCTTATTGTGAGGTTTGCGAAAGAGTGGAGAATATAGATCATGTATTATGGGAGTGTGATAAGTATGAGAGTGAAAGAGAAAGGTTTGTGGAAAGAATGGAAGCAGGGAAAGTGCCGAAAAATAGCGATTTTTTTGAAACCAAAGAGATAGGTGCCTTTTAAAGTACTAAGACTGATAGGTGCATTTATAAAAAAATGCAAGCTGAAGCTGTGATTAAGAGAATTTCATTAGGCGAAAGATCTAATGAAATGAATAACAAACGCAATAATAGAGAAAACGAAGATATATTTTTGATATTTCTGATAAATATATATGTACAGACTATTGTAGAAGTAGGTTATAACATATATATTTTTAAATGTTGTATTAATATGTATATTTGGGATATACATATGGAGCTGGATGAGTTTTTGAGCTTAGTATATGAGTGCAATATAGAGAGGAGCATGTCGAGGAAAAGGAGTGTAAGGGATGGTAGAGTGGGGATGGAAGAAGAAGCGGGAATTGTAAGAGTATGTACAAATGAGAATGGTTTCAGGTTTGTGATTGAGATGGCGCCGCAGTGGCGTAGCAAACTGTAAAGATTTATGTAGGCGCAATGAGCCAGAGTTTGGCCAAAGTCGCCATCTTCCGAAGAAGAAAATAAAAAAACTTTAAACCTTAACATTGGCAACAACAATGTAGAAATACAAATTAGGGGGAAAAACCAAAAAAGAATAGTTCATAAGGACCGTGTCAAGAGGGCGCACATGCCATTAAAGGATCACAAGAGGGCGCACATGCCATAGGGCGCACATGCCATTAAAGGATCAAGAATCAATAATAGGGAAAATTCAGCCTTAAAGACGTAGGATGCACATGCGCAACAAAGTTGCTACCACTGCTATAAAACCTATAAGCAACACGAGGGTAGCACGCGCACGTGGAAAAGGAAAGGAAGGAGAAAAGAAGAAAAGCAGGAAGAAGAAGAAGAAGAATTAAAAATAACGAGCAAGCGAATCACAAACGCTATATGCGTTGAAGACGAGGAGGTCGTGTTTGGATACAAATACGACCACTTGACCGCGCGAATGTGCGGTGTGTGTGCGATGTTTTTAAAAGAAGAAAACAAATATCGATGGTGGCATACAGTCAAGGAATCAGATATACTAATTAGGGATCCTTCCATATTCAATAATAATATATGAATAAAATTACACATATATGTATACATATATATAACAGGGGCTCACCACCACATCGCGACGGAGAACGCAAGAGAAACCTCTGCTTGCATGAAGTGCAAAAAGCCATAAGCAGGCTACGACCTGCGATCTCGTGCACAGAGTGCAGAAACCGCATCGCAAACCATACCGCGGAAGAACAGGAGATGTACTATGATGGAATATTACTCCCATCCACCGATGATTGGAAGATAATCGAATTGACGACCATGATTTATAACAACGGACATTTGTCCGTTATACTTAAATAAAATAAAAAAAAAAAAAGAAAACAAGAGAAGAAGGAAAAAATATAATAATATAATATTTAGTTTTATATATATATTCTCACCGGTCAAAAGACATAAATAAGATAACGCGTGGTCCAAATGTCGTAAACAAGATAAGCCGAAAACGGTAACGCAATCAAGAGATAAGAAAAGTATAAAAGAAGAAGCAGGCCGGCGCGCGCGACAATAATATTATAGACGCAGTCGACAACAATAATAATATACACTCACTCGAGACAGTCGGAGTTCAGGTTTCGGACGAGTCAGATCGCGAGAACATTCTGTTGTAACAAATTGCGTACATTGTAAAGTAGCGTAGTGTTTATGGAATAAAGCAAATTTTTTTAAAACACAAACTGAACGCTTTCCCGTGTAACATTAAAATTGGTGGCAGCGGTGGGATCTGCTGAAATCGTTGCGGAGTCAACGTAGCTGCGGAGACGGCCAGCGAATCCTGAACCTACGGGAAAGAAGAAAGAAGAAAAAGAAAAAGGGCGAATCCTTCAAGAAATATAAACAACGAGAAGCATCGAGAAAGCAAATCAAGGTAAGATGGCAGAGATGGAAGCTATTACTAAAATGCTTTCCGAAATCACGAGTCGACTGGAGAGACTAGAAACGAGGGGCGATAGCCTACGGAGAGAAGACCCCCTTGCTAGATCCTCTAACTCGATATTAACAAATGTCGATGACTCCGAACCTTCTCCGTACACATTAAATGAACTATTAGGAACTGTGTCCGAATTTGATGGAGAAACGCTACCAATTGAAACGTTTATTTGCCAGGTAGAAACGGTCAAATATAATGTACAGAAAGAAAGATCGCAATTATTGCTTGGAAGTATACTAGCGCAGAAAATAGTCGGAAAAGCTAGAACAGTAATACGTGCAGAAATGATAAGAACGTTTGAAGATTTGAAAACCCAATTAAGACAAAATTACGGCTTTCCAATCGATTCAACATTGCTACAATTGCAAAGAATTCAATGCAGACAGAACTTTAAAAAACCAGTAAACTCGTACATATCGCGATTCACGAGAATACACGACGCCGCGTTAAACGCCGCTCTAAGCAGGCCCCTCCCCACGGAACAACGAGAATTATTATTCGAAGAAGAAAAACGAAAAGGAATAATAGATTTTATAAACGGACTAGAAAGAGAAACTCGATTAGAAGTAAAAACATCCAATCCTCAGTCCATTCAAGAGGCAATAAATGCAGCAAGAATGTCCGAATTAATACAACAGAGAAACGATTTATTCAGATCAAATCCATTCAGAGCTCAAAATCGTACGAATTTTAATACACAGAAACCACAGCAAAACCTTCGAAGTTTCAACACACGAAGACCCCAACAAAATTTCCAAGCTCGCTCAAATCCAGTCAAACCGCCAATGCAACGTCAACCAAAACAATGTAATTACTGCAAGAGAATAGGACACGATGAAATTGAATGTAGAACAAAACGATTTCAAAATTTTCGCGTACGCCAAGAATTCCCGGAAACCCCACCAGCACACGCTATACCGAACGACCAAGATCAAGATTTAGAAGCAAACGACCCCCAAATCGAAGACTTCCAGTAAATAATCAACGAGCGATTACCAAACACACTTTTAAAACAACAGGCGAGTTCGAAACAAAATTGTTAGGCAAAAATCTAAAATTTCTGGTAGTAAAAGATGAAGTGATGCAAGAGGACGGACTACTTGGAATAGACTCGTTAAGAACGCTGCATTGTACATGGGATATTTGTCGAGGACAGTTATAATTTAGAAATAAAATATTCACGCGAAAAGACAACAATACAGAAGAAACAACCATACCACCAAAGACGAGTAAATTGCAGGAAATCAAAGTAACGAACATTCAAAACGGTGAAGCTAAAATAACTCTAGAAGACATAGACATGTTAGTTACAGTAAAGAATGGAATGACTCGAATACCTGTAAATAATTTAAGCGAAACAGAAGCAAAAACAATAAAAGCGACAGAAATACTAGGTCAAAAAATTCAGGCATCGGATTTTCCCAAGGACCCCAGATCATTGACTAAAGAACGCGAGGAATTTTTAAAACAAAACACACGTCTAGACCATGTTAAAGATGGAAGGGAACAAATATGGGAAATAATAAAAAGGTACCATGATATTTTTGTATTACCAGGAGACCCTATACCGTTAACCAATTTAACCGAGCACTCTATGGAACTAACAGACCCAACTCCGATTCACACTGGACAATACAGATACCCTCCGATTCACCAAAAAGAGATAGCAAATCAAGTAAAAAAGATGTTAGAATTCTCCCTTTAATTCTCCCTTTAATTCACCACTCTGGATTGTGCCGAAAAACCCGGACGCATCAGGGAAAAAGAAATGGAGATTAGTAATAGACTACAGAAAATTAAATGAACGAACAAAACAAGATTCATATCCACTCCCATAATTAGACGAGATACTTGATAAATTGGGTAATGCGAAATACTTTTCTGCATTTGACTTAGCCTCTGGATTTCATCAGATAGGCATGCGAGAAAAAGATAAACCAAAAACTGCATTTTCTACTACCGACGGACACTATGAATACAACAGAATGCCATTCGGATTAAAAAACGCACCAGCTACTTTTCACAGAATGATGAATAACGGCTTAAGAGGACTGATCGGAAATACGTGCTTTGTTTACATGGATGACATAATAGTATTCGAAACTACCCTTGAAGAACATAACAGAAATTTACAAATTCTGCTCGAACGATTATCGAAATGCGGATTGAAATTACAACCAGACAAATGTGAATACCTTAAACCAGAACTATCATATTTAGGACATATAATATCTGCCGAAGGAATAAAACCAAACCCAGAACGAATTGAAAAGATAAAAACCTACCCGATACCTAAAAATCCGAAAGAAGTCAAACAATTTTTAGGATTAGCTGGATACTACAGGAAATTCATAAAGGATTTTTCTAAAAAGGCGTCACCATTGACCACACTGTTGAAAGATAAAATTAAATGGAAATGGGGAAATGAAGAACAGAATGCTTTTGATACATTACGAAATGCTCTTTGTGAAGAACCAATTCTTATCTCTCCTGATTGGAACAAAACATTCACATTAACCACAGACGCAAGTAACGAAGCAATTGGAGCCGTACTTTCACAAGGAATTATCGGACAAGATAGACCTATAGCATACGCATCAAGAACACTCAATAAAGCAGAAAGAAATTACTCGACCACTGAAAAGGAGTTATTAGCTATAGTATGGGGAATTAAGCACTTTCATCAGTATCTATACGGACGAAGATTCAAAATAATTACTGATCACAAACCTCTAACTTGGGTGATGAATGTCAAAGATCCTACTTCTAGGCTTATGAGATGGAGATTGAAGCTAGAAGAATACGATTACGAGATAGTCTACAAGAAAGGCAAACGCAATGCTAATGCGGACGCATTATCCCGAATTCCAAAAACGATGGTACATATGATTGATGACGACGAAATGAATGAAACGATAGAAAATGTATTGAGCGACCTTCAGGAAGAAGCTGCTCCAACGTATAATGAATTCAAAGATAACGAAAGAACATTTGAAAAAGAAGAAACGCTGGAATATGACACAGGGCGAGTATCCCGGAGAGGACTCGTCGTCACAACCAGCAGAACAAACAGGGGTCTATGCATTGATCCGAATGCAGAAGAAGAAATATGGTACGCTGGGCTGAGAACCAAGGTACCAGAAGTAAACGAAATAGAAGTACGAATCATAGACCCATACGTAAAAGAAACGATCCTACGAATGGTAGAATTCATTCACAAAAGAAAGACGCCGGAGAAGCGTCTAATAGTAAAATGCAATACAGCAAAGGATTCAGAAACACAAGAAGAAAAGGAAAGATTAATAAAAAGCGTGCATGAAAGCACCATAGGAGGACATCAAAGAGTCGAAAGGACGCTCCAACGATTAAGGACCATGTATAATTGGTCAGGAATAACGAAAGACGTAGAAAATTTCATAAAGAAATGTGAAATATGCCAAAGAGAAAGACTAAAATACACGGCTAATAGACCGCCCCCAGGAACTCCTGATATACCATCTAAACCTAATGACAAAGTGTCACTGGACACAATTGGACCACTACCATCAGATAGAAAATATCGATACATATTGGTCATACAAGACTACTTGACAAGATACGTGCAATTAGCTCCATTAAAAACGAAAACACCCAAAGAAGTCGTAGAAAATTTCTGGACATATTATTGCCAAGTGTTTGGAGTACCAAAAGAAATATTAACAGACAATGGTCTAGAATTTAGAGGGGAATTCCAAGAATTTGTAGAAGAGAAACTCAGAATCAAACACACGACAACCGCAGTATATCATCCACAACCTAACGGAAAGAACGAAAGAACTCACAAAGAAGTATTCAATTATTTAAGAAGCTTTATAGAAGAAAAGAACGAATGGGTTAAACTTCTGCCTGACGCTACTATATCATATAATAACACTCATAATGAAGTCACCGGAGTATGATCCTCTGAATTCATGTTTGGTTGGAAGCCTCACATTCCGATAGAGGCACGCGAAATGGAATTTGGAGAGAAATTAGCATATGAAGCACTAAGCAATAAAAGACGAAGAACACAAGAAATCGCAAAAGAAAGAATAAGGAAGCAACAAGAAAAAACGCAGCAAAGGTTACCAGAAGCCAGAATAGAAAGAGAATACAGAATAGGACAAAATGTAATGGTTCGAAGAAGACAACCACAAGACAAGAGACTTGATTCGCCATGGGAAGGCCCATACGAAATTGTTGGAATAATAGACAATCAAGCGGCTACCGTTCGAAAGGGAAATCGAGATGTAACATATCACCTGTCCGACCTCAAACCTTTCTATGTTGCAGAGACTGAAGAGGAAAATCGAGAAGTTACGCGAGATCAAGATGAGAACGAATCAATTATTGAACCTACTGACTTTGAGCATATTGATACACAAAGTGCCGACGAAACCGATTGACAGAGAAGAAATAATTATAACACCAATAGACACGAAGAAATCAATTTACTTGGAACACATAAGAGAAGCGCAACTATATCATGACACATGGAAAGTAACTGTTGGGATAGAGCACGGACATCTACAAAATGAAATAAAATTACTGATTTTGCATACGAATCAACTAGCCAAACGGTGTGATGAAATTAATCCGTGCTTAAGCAAACAAAGAATAATCCTTCAGCAAGAACGAAACAGACGACTGAATCAAGAATTAATATCTTTAAGAAAATTCATGGGTCACGTACAAAAAAGAGGACTACTTAATGCAATAGGCGAAGGAATGAAAATATTGTTTGGAACCATGACAGCTTCAGATGCGGAATATTATAACAATGAATTTGACAAGCTAAGAGAAGATAATATTAAGATAGCACACTTAGTAAAGAATCAAACAACAATGTTGCTCCACAAAATACAAGATAACCTCGGAACCTACAAATATATTCAGCAGCAAACAGACAAGCCAAATATCAATTTCGAACTGCTACAAAATGCTATGAAAGAAGAAATATTCAATTTAGAAATAGACGAGACCTTCGCCGATTATATATTTCTTTATCATGACGTTTCAACAACGATGCAAAAACTTCAAGAAGCTATTGTCGACGGCAAACACGGTATAGTACATCCAACGATACTACCCCCTTCAGAATTATTCGAAGCGATGAGAAATACGACAAAATTCGAAAAATTCCCTGTGCCACTAAAAGAGGAATATTATGGAATATTGTTAGACACAAGCGAAATATCAATAACACTAACAAACGAAAAATTAATCTACAACCTTCGAATTCCAATATTAGAAGAAGACGTGTACACATTATACAGACCAATCGCACTACCAATCTATTCGTATATTCAAGGATATTCTGTATACAACGTGGAATTCGAATATCTACTCTTGAACAAATCACACACAGAATTCATACCCATCAACGAAGAAGAAAAAGCACAATTTAAAAGTGTGGTAAATCAATATGTAATTCAGAGAAAACATCCAAATTATCTTACATCATCTTCAAACGCTTGTTTAATCGAATTACTTCTAAAGAAAAACCAAGAATGTTCGCAAAAATACATAAAACTGCAAGGAACACTATTCATTCAACTCTCTACGAACCAAGACTGGATAGCCATCACTCCAAAGAAAGAACAAATACAGTAAAACCTCTTTTTGTGCGGTACTTTTTTATGCGATTTTATTTTTGTGCGATTTGTTTTGTGCGATTTTATTTTTGTGCGTTTTTTTTCGTGCGATTTTTTTAATGCGGTATATGAACCTTAGCGGCGTTGGCGCCTGTTTAATGTTTCCTATCAGTGTACATATACATGTTGTGGGCGAACCCTGATTACGTGGGCTCCTTGACGACTATGCATGTGTACTTCGCGACGCTCTGTTTATTTGTTTTAAACAATCTCCTGACAACGTACCGTCAATTGAGTACGTATTTGTTAATTACATATTCTCGCTCGACGCGCGAACAGTATACGCTTCGTATTCGGAGTTTTATCCACGATTCACGTGATTAAGGATCCATTTTATAGTGAGATTAAAAGTAAATAAATTATTACTTTTGTTTCTATTTATGTATAGCTTTTATGATTCTTATTTTGTTTTTAGACATAAGCATTCCCTTAAAATGAATAATTGTAGCCAAAAAAAAGTAAAAAGACAGACAATTTCATTAGAAACAAAAATTCTAATATTAAATAGATTAGCTGATGGTGAAGGATCCACAGTTGTTGCTAAGGAATTTAAATTGGGTGAATCCACGATTAGAGCAATACATAAACGTGCGAATAAAATACATGAGTCTGTTAATAGTGCAACAAACGATAGTAGTAGAAGAGCATCATATTCAAGAAATATTGTAATAGAGAAGACGGAAAAGGCTCTAGTATTATGGATTAAAGACTTAACTAAAAAACGAATCCCTGTTCACAAAGATTTAATTCAAGAAAAAGCTAGGCAGTATTTTAACCAATTGAAGGATTTAGAACCCAGTTTGTCATCCTGTTCAAAAAACGTAAAATTTTCTGCGAGCAATGGGTGGTTTAATAAATTTTTAGGACGATACGCACTTCACAGTGTAAAGATACAAGGCGAGGCAGCATCCTCCGATGAAACAGCTGCTATGAATTATCGTCAAGTGCTAGCAAAAATCATTGATGATGGTGGATATTGCCCAGACCAAGTATTTAATGCAGATGAGACTGGGTTATTCTGGAAAAAGATGCCCAGCCGAACATTCATTGCGAAAGCCGAAAAAACTGCAAGCGGTTTTAAAGCGGCAAAGGATCGAATTACACTTCTTCTTTGCAGTAATGCCTCTGGTGCAAAAATGTTAAAACCACTCATTATAAATAAAGCTTTGCATCCACATGCGCTAAAAGGCATAAATTTAACTGAATATCCAGTACATTTCATGGCCAATAAAAAAGCATGGGTCACATCAGCTGTTTTTGCAACATGGTTTAACGATTGTTTTGTACCAGAAGTTGAAAAAGACATGGCAGAGATGGGTCTTCCTTTCAAAGTGTTGCTAATTGTTGATAATGCACCCGGCCATCCTTGTTTAGAACATCCTAATGTACAAATAGTGTTTTTACCACCAAACACGACTAGCCTTATTCAACCACTGGATCAGGGCATAATCGCAAATTTTAAGAAACACTATGTCAAATTAACTTTTCGATACATTCTGAAAAAACTAGAGGACGAAAAATTAAGCCTGACTGAAGTTTGGAAAAAGTTCTCAATTTTAGACTGCATAAATCACACTACTGCAGCAATTGGTCAAATAAAACAGCACACATTAAATTCGTGTTGGAAAGCGATCTGGCCTGAATGTGTCACTAATCGAAATGCAACCGAAAATGCGTCCACGTTTTTATCAAAAATTACTGAGCTCGCACATAGCATCAGCGGAAAAGGTTTTGATACTTTCGGCGAAAACGATCTGGGCGAAATGATTGAGGACGAAACTGTCAATGATAGTGACATTATCAATAATTTGATAGATTGTGAAGACGGACAAGAAGAACTGGAATCTATTACAGCAGATAAAATATATGCAGGGATCCAGATTTCTAAAAAATTGGAAACGCATTTTCTTAAAATAGACACTAATGCCGAAAGAAGTTTGAAATTCCAAAAAGAGCTAAGATCATGCATGTCTCGCTATCGTGAAGTTTACAAGTAACTAACCAATCGACCGTCGTCACAAAAACTAATCACTGACTTCATGGTGCCAAAAAATAAATCAATTGAAATCGTATCTTCAAGCGACGAAAGCGATTTTGAACCAATTCATCACAAGAAGATGCGCGTTTTGGATTACGACGAGTAGCAGTGAATTATTTAATGTGCATTTTGAAATCTTCTCCATGTATACAATAAACAATTAAATGTTTTTAAAATATTTTCAGGTCTAATTTAATTATTTAATTTGCTTGAAAGCATTTTCTCATCTTTTTCGTAAATAATTGATGTATTTTCTAAGTGTGACTTTTTTTATGCGGTCCCTGTCCGCCGCATAAAAAAAATTTTGGGTGGTATATCGTACAAAATTGTTTATTATATGTAAGTATTTATAAAATTTCCGAATACTTTTTTGTACGATTTCTTTTATGCGGTCCCTATCCACCGCACAAAAAGAGGTTTTACTGTACATATTATCTGCGAAAATCAAGAACCGCATATAATAACAATACAAGATAGAAACATAATACATTTACCGCAAGGATGCGCAGGAACGACGGAAGAAGCCATTATAAAAGCAGGAGGAGAAAAAGGAAATACTACACTAAACATACCTATTGAAACTACAGAACACCTAGATCACTGGAAACAAATATTAACAGACAGATAAATCGATGTACAAAATCTTAACATAACATATTTAAAGAAACCTTGGAAAAAGATGGCGACAACTGAGTAGGAAGCGTTGTTGTGTGACTCACCGTAATTTTGTGTTTTTGTTTGATTTTTTCGTTTGTGAATTTTTTCTACGTATATAGGTGGATAGAAAGCCGGTAAAGCGGAAGATTTCCCCTGGTTGGGCAGAAGCCAGGGGAAAAAGAGAAGGAGAGGAGAAGTACACGAGAAGAAAGATTAGAAGAGTAAAATGTACAAAGCGAATGAGTTGTGAGGAGGGAGAGATAAAGGAGAAAAATAGAGAAGTGGAGAAAGAGGTTTTAAAGGAGTTGAGAGGAAGTTGGGCTTTGGAATATCTGACGGAGGAAGAGGATGCAGTACTGAGTACAGCAGTCAAGGAACGAGAGGAGGAAAGGGATGGAGTAAAAGAGGAGGAAAAGAAGAGAGAGGAAAGAATGCAGACAGAGGAGTGTAAGAAAAGAAGTAGAGAAATGGGGACAGAAGAGGAATACCACGAAGAAGAAGGTGTAAAGGAGAAGAAAAGGGTTAGAGAGATGAACTTGACCGACGTAGTAGAAGTAGTGAAGAAGGTGACCAATGAGGAGCGAGTACAAGAAGAGCAGAGCGAAGTCCCTAGTTCAGAGTTGGCAGCAATGGGGGCATCAGCGATAGTGGCGACAGAGAAGATGAGACGGTGGCGTGGGGAGACTGGGAGAGACGCTATTTCAGGCGGCCATTGTGATCGAGAGCGTGGTATAGAAAGGTTGTGTGAAGTGAGAGTACAAAGTAAGGACAAAGAAAGTGTGAACGAGGAGAGTTTTGAGGACGATTTAGGTATTAAAAACTTATCTAATAGTAATAAGATAGCGAGTAGGGATAATAGAAGTAAGTTAGAGAGTAAGGAAAATGAAATTAATGGTAATATAGTGATAAGAGGGAAAGACGCAGTAGGCGAAGAAAACGGAAAGGGGGAGGCCCACGTGGCGAAGGAAGTTAGAAATGAAAGGGTAATAGGTGAAAAGGAAAACAAAGAATGGTCTTTAGAGGTATATGAGGATGATGTAAAATGGGATGAGTATGTTGTATGTGTAGTTTTAAGAGGTAGGGCCCAAAATAGTAGAAGTGTAAATAATAAAAGGATGTCTAAGAGGAACAATTTGATAAAGATATATAGGTTAGTACAGGGCGCAGGTGTGAAAATACATACAATCCGCATGATTGGTTACAGTAAGGCGGAGATTACGATGAAAAGGAAGGAGGAAGCTAACGGTTTATTGAAAAGGTACGGAAAGGGTGACGGAAGTGTCAAGGCGTTTCTACCGAGAAGAATGGCGTTCAGAAAAGGTGTCATTTACGAGTGGGAGGATTCCATCGAAGAGCTAAGAGAGGAGGCCATGCCAGGGCAGGGGCAATACTATATGGAAAGAATGAGAAAAAGGCGGATTATAGATGGAAAAGTGGTTTTTACATGATTAAGATCCATTTTGATTACGTTTAAGGGAAGCGTTCTTTCCACACGCCTGCTCATAGGGCAAGGCCATGTGGGCATCAAGATAGAGCCGTATGTGGAACAAGTTAAACAGTGCTACAGATGCTTGAAATATGGGCACTACCAGGCGCAGTGCAAAGAGGAGGTTAAGAAATGTGCAATATGTGGGGACAAGTATCATGGCCAATGCGAAAACAAGTCAAAATGTGTTAACTGTGGAGGAAGTCATGGATCGTTGGCTAGACTATGTTGGGTGTGGCGAATAGATGCGGCCATTAGGAAAGTAATGGCCTACAAGAACGTAGAATTTGAAACGGCAAGAGGGATAGTAGCAAGATCGACAGGGGACCCGGAACTTGACAGGACAGGAGGTATTGATAGATTCGCGGGGAGTAATGGGGATTTTCCCGCCCTAACAGTGAAGGAGAAAAGGGAAACTTGGGAAAAGAAGGAGGCACCAATTCAAAGGGAGGTGGAATTAATAAAGAGATTAAGACAAGAGAGATATGGAGATAGGAATGGTGCGGTGGTGCGTGAAGGAGGAAGGAAGGCCACTTATAGTGAGGTTATGAGAGGGAATGAAGAGGATCGAGAAGGAGGAAAATAGAATGATCGTGAGCAGGAAGAGGCTAGAGGAGGCGATGAGAAAGGGGCGAGAAGAAATGAAGGAGAAGGGTGGAAACAAGTGAAAGGGGGGTATAGACCGGCATGTCTCAATGAGGAGACAGATGCTATACTAACGGGAAACAGGTACTTGTGTCTTGAATGCAAGGAGAAGACGGAGAAGATGAAAAGGGAAGGGAAAATTCAGATATTGAGAAGGATTCCGCGAGATCGCTACATGGTGGGAGAAGAGCCCGAGGGCGAATGTGATTATGAAAGGTTAGAGTGGGCGTTGAACAAGGATGAGATGGAGAAGGAGAGGAGGAGGGTAAGAAGAGAAAAACAGATGAATAGGGAGTGGCTGGGGGGGTTAGAGAAAAGGAAGGAGGACGAAATATTGGAGGAGATAATAAAAATGTTGAAAGAAAAAAACTTGGAAGGCAAATTCCATGAGATTATAAGAACAAGGAAGTACAGGGAAAGAAGAATGATTAGGCCGGATCCAGAGGAGGATTGGAATGCCGTTGTAACCACCTCCTTTTGAAATGGAAATTGAC